GCCCTGAGTTGCTTACTTCTCCACTACTGCCTCCTCCTCCTCCAGCACCACTTCCTTCTCTGGGTAGGGTGATTCTTAACTAACCGAGCATGCTAGTTCTAGATTTTCGAGGTCTAGAATTTCAAGTCTGGTGGCATAAGATATTCTGCAACGAGTAGAGGAATGGAAAACTCTTCTTGTGAAATATTTCTGGACTTTCTCAACTGTGTTAATATCAGATACATAATGTAGGTTCCAGACTGATGAGCTGTATTCGAGTATTGATCTAGCAAATGTTTTGTATTCTCTAGTTAGTAGTGTAATATTACCAGAGAAAAAGCTATGTAAGATTAGGTTAACAACTCTTGATGCCTTTTTGGCTATGTAGTTACAGTGGGCTCTAGCACTTACATCATTAGAGATGAGTACTCCAAAGTCCTTTACAGAGCTTGGATCATCAACAAGGTCTTTTATTTATCCTGTCTTTTATTTTCTGATTTTTTTTTTGCCAATATGTAAGACAGAGCATTTATTTGTTGAGATTTGAAGTTGCCATTTGTTTGATCATTCTGATACATAGTCGAGGTCTTTTTGAAGGGTAGCAGTATTGTCTGTTTTGGCCCTATGTTCAAGAGAACATTCATATGTTTAAATTTTGCAAAAAACCAAACCAAAACAAAACCCAGCAGAATCAGGTCCATGCAGGGGGGAGGGGGAAGCTCCACAACAGAGAGCTGCACAACAGAGAAGGCATACTTCCATACTAGCAGAAGTCCTAGCAGAAGTCACTGTTTAATAAACAGGACCTGGAGATAAGCACACTATCAGATCTGGAGGGATCAGCAGAAATAATTGAAGACAGGCAGTCCTGAAAATAAACTGTTTCTATGCTTGGCACCTTAGTTTTAGTTTACTTTATTGTCATTGCACCTCATACAACGAAATCAAACACCAGCTTCAGTGCACATCATGACCATGAAAATAAACACAAATACACATCCTTCACATTCCACACATTGAATTGAAACCCCCTGACATCGCACCAACACTGCACTACACAGTAGAATTCAACAGACCTACTGCTCTGGGATAGAAGCTGTTTTTTCAACCTTGTTTTTATGATTCTGTACCATCTGCCAGATGGTAATAGTTCAAAAAAAGGGTGCCCAAGATGAGATGGATCTTTGAGAATGTTTTGAACTTTCTTAAGGCAGCGGTGGCTATAAAGCTCTTCCAAAAAGGGGAGAGGGCAACCAATGATCTTCTGGGCAATGACGTTAACCCTCTGGAGTACTGTCCTATCTGCCACTGTGCAATGGGCAAACCATACACAGGTACAGTAAGTTAAGATACTCTCTATGGTGCAGCGATAGAAGGTCACCCGCAGTTTTTCATTCAGTTGTTGTTTTCTGAGAAGTCTTAGGTAGTATAATCTCTGCTGGGCCCTTTTGACCAGTGCTGAAATGTGAGCACCCCAGGTCATGTCCTTTTTCATGGTAGCACCCAGAAACTTAAAACTGGCCACTTGCTCCACTCGGTCTCCATTGATAAGCAAGGGCTGGATGTCTGATCTATTTCTTCTATAGTTCACTATAAGCTCTTTGGTCTTCTTGATGTTGAGGACCAAGTTATTGTCTCCACACTATGAAAGCAACCGGTCCACCTCATCTTGGTAGGTAGACTCACCACCCCTAGAGATGAGTCCCACCACTTTTTTTTCAAATCCCACCTGGAAACATTTTGGGAGCCAGATCAGCTCATGAAGCAGTGGTATGATGCTAAAACACCGCAACTTCCTATACTGCTGGGCTCTGAACCAACTGTCGTTTTTGAATTGTTTTCAAGAGCTGCGCTGTGTAGAGGGGTTTTATAATAATAGCCCACCAGATAGTATACTAGTCTATCTGGGAGGTAATCATGCATGAGTGACTTCATGAAGAGAACTTCCAGATCCAAGAATTGGAACAACTGGCACAGGAGATGGATCTGTGCAAAAACCCTGTTTTTGCACAGCTGAAGCTGCCACCTTCTACTTGAATCATACTCCTACATTTAGGAGGATCCTCAAATTACACATCAGTTTTGGCTGTGGAAAATATTATTCCATTGAGAATTAAAGATGGAAAGTCACTGGAGTCAAAGGACCCCCAAAACCCAAGGACACTTACTTATTAATAGCAATAGCCACAGCACTTAGACTTATATACTGCTTCACAGTGCTTTACAACCTCCTCTAAGCGGTTTGCAGAGTCACCAATTGCTCCCAACAATCTGGTAGGGTTTTTTTTATTTTTATGTAGAAAATTTATATTGCCTCCAACTCGCATGTAGCAATTCAAGGTGGCTTATTCTTATTCCTACTCCCATCAGAGGTATTCCATAACACCTGAAACTTCCTGAAATGGATCCAAACAATCTGCTTCCTTTAGTACAGGGCCTCCCTACAAGGGCCAATTCACCTCCATTGGGACCTAGTTGGGTGTCATCTCTTGGGAATCTTTACTAACCAGGAAGAACAAGGACTATTATACAGATGGCTGAGATCACAGACTTCAGGAGGAGTTCAGACTCTTTTTAGGTCTGACAAATCAGACAACTCTAAGTTTGATCAACTCCACAGGACCTGTACATCTTTCATATGAATAATGGGGTTAAGCTTTTAAAAAGGAAACGGGAGAAGCAGAGTAGTGCTCCAGGGAGAGAGAAGAAGTGATATCATTGGATGGTATTGAATGAGAGTCTTTTAAAGAAAGCAAATACCTAAACCGTACACATAGAGTAGTCCCATTCAAAGTATAATTCACTATTTGATATGATTTGACATGATCACACAAGGAGCAATGTTCTATTCAAGACATTCAAGACTATCTGTTAAAAATAATCTCTGATTTTAGGTTCCTCCATATATTGCCACTTATAGAGCCATTGATGGACAAAAATGACATTTAGGTAGAATCCAATAAGAAAATGGGGAGTATTTTATCTTCAGGTCTCTTGATCTTTACATGAGTGTGATAGAAATGGGTTGAGTCAGGGAGGGATTAGTGCATATCCTTTTTTTCTGTATAATTTAGGTGTGGTTTTAAAATGAGTATGAAGAATCCATGTCCTCCCAACTACTAATGGAGACAAAATGGAGACAACTACTACCCTGCAGCCAACATAGCCATCAGGCAAAGACAAGGGTAGTTAAGTGTTGAGTACCTAAAGGGCTCCAGTTCCTCGATCTCTCACATCCTTTTACAATGAAAATTTCCTTAAAGTTTTCTGTCCAATCAAAACTTCTTAAAGATGTGAATTATTTCTTACATGAGACTCACCACAATCTGGGTTTCATTGTCTGTCAGAGTGTCAATAGTCAAACTCCTTCCTGAAAAATCTTGGCTGATCTGTGTCCTTTTGTCTTCAGTTGTGGTTTCCCGAATCTTTCGCTCCCCAATTTGAGAATTTTCTCCAGTGATGGCTCCTGGCCCCTGGGTCCAACCTTTAGAAAAAGAATCAAAATTATGAATTATATGTATAAATAAATATATATGAATTATTTCTAAGAGTCAGAATAGAATAGTTCCATGATGAATCATTTATAGCCATGAATCTCTTTTTGAAAGACACCGGAGTCTTCCAACACTGTGTCACTAAAATTTGGCAGTCCAAAAATTCTAAGAGACAAACCCGGGACTTTTACAAACTAAAAACACTGCTTTGAATTATACCTAGAGATCTACTAAAGTCAATGCAGCACCCACAATATAAGGGCAAAGTGGCTGTAACAACACACTCATAAGCAGGTAGGTTGCTAGTGTCTTCATCAACTGTGAGTCCAAATAGTCTTCTAAAGTATCTCTGTTAAAGTCCATTGCAGCAATCTAGTCATCATGCGTTGCCCAGCTCTTCTATTCCAGGCAGAGGTGTAGTAATGCACTGGCCAGATAAAGATGATGAATCCAACAATAGCTGCAAGTCCAAGACGACTCCCAAGTTGAGGATCTGCTCCTTTGGGAAAGCAACGTCCACCCGAGTCACAATAGACAGGGAGAGATCTGATGAAAAAGCAACTCCATTTTATTACTGCTCAACTTTAGCGTGTTTCATCTTATCCAGACCCCTGCAGCCTTCAGAGTAACTTTTGCTTCTATAGCCTCTTTGACCCAAGCTTAGAAGTGTCAAAAGCAATAAACAGATATCCTCTCCCAGTAATTTCTTATAGGTATTATAAGGGAAGGATGGGAGTAGGTTTACCAGATTTCTGAGCGGGCAAAGACAGAGATGGACAATTGAAAAAGGAGGTCTCAATAACTGTTTAACTTAGTCGGTATCCACAACAATAACTACAAAAACAAAAAACACAATCAGGCCTACATATTTATAAAATTATTTTTCCAGCATTGGAAAGACAAGCTTTTTAATCACAATATTTCTGAATGGGGACTGAAACTTTTGTAGCTAAGCAAGGAGGTTGTTAAGTGAGTCACACTTGATTTTATGACCTTTTTGACACTATTATTTAATGAATTATTTCAGTTAACTGAATCACTTGGTTGTTAAGTGAATCAAACTTCCCTCATTGATTTTGTTGTTGGAAACCAGTTGGGAAAATTGCAAATGGAGATCACATGATCTTGAGATGCTGCAACTATCATAATGTTGTAGTCAAAGGCTTTCATGATTGGTTAGTTCCAGTAGTGAATGTACAAATTCCATTCCATAAAGTTGTGTTACAGCCTTTTTACTATCCTATCCTGTCTTAGCCTAGCCAGCTATCCTATCCTAGCCTATGCCTCTTTATTTGTTATTGCACTCCTAATTTCACCCAGTGGTTTATTGAGGTGGTTATAACAAAATGATTTTAGAATGTGTTAATAAAATCATTTTACAACCACAAAATATTACAAATAATTAACATGCAATTGACAAAATAGCATGGGAAATACAAGGTAGAACACACATTTAAAACCAATGAAGCATTATTTAGTGTTGGAATTTCTTCACAGCAGCAAGCAATATATATGTATGCATGCATTGATGTATGTATGTATGTATGTATATGTGTGTATATGGATTATCTATCTGTCATCTGTCTAATCTATCATCTGTCTATCTATCTATCTATCTATCTATCTATCTATCTATCTATCTATCTATCTATCTTCAATATGCTCTCAAAGAACAGAAAAACTAGGCTAATTCAGTGGATGAATCTGCTTTCGTTATAATTCAAATCCATCTCTTTCAATAGGGCATCTATTAAGTATGAGTGAATCTGGAATTGACCCAGAATTTAAAAACTACTGTGAGTAATGTTCATAATCTTTAGTGGAGAAGAGGTCATAAACTTAATTCTTTAGCATTTATAATGTTGGTGAAATCTCCCATTTTTATTAGCTCTGGTAAAATGTTCTTTGTGGTCACTGGCTTATTGGGAATAATGATTTTGTCCTGCCTCTTTTTCATGCCAATATCTTCTTTAAATCATCAAGCCACTGGGATAATAGCGTAGTGGCCTAATTCAGAAGGGTAAATTCAATCAAAACTACCAAGAAGTTAAATATTTATACAAATCATGGCAGATCCCAGTGATAAAAGATCTAAAATACTGAAAGTAGTGTATTTGAATGCTGCTTTAACAGCAAAATATTTTCAGAATGAGCTGGTTCAATATTCTGACTACCTTTTGTTAACAGGAACTACATATGATAAACATGAGTTAGAAAATAGTTTTTAAAGATAGGACTTCTTTGCAGAATGTGAAAAACAATCTGATGAGTGGGAAATGCATCTAAGAAAGTATAGATTTTTTTCCCCCCACATTCACAGTTGACCTTAAGCAACTGGTCCCAAATCCTGATCCTTGTAGCACAGGATCTTTTTTTCAAATAAACACTGTAAAATCAACATACAAATGATAAATCTTGACATATTTATAAATGCTGGAAGTTATTAATTAACAAAGAAAGCCAAGGGTAACTTTCAGCTTCATTCTGCATTCCCTGCTTTCTCTTTATAATCTGTCCTATAATAGTGAGATACTATCCTAGTAATAGAGTGGCCTGACTTTGAATCCCCAAACACTCATTTATTTAAAGCATAACTAAATATATTTGTGCAAGTAAGAGTTTACTAAAAACTGTTTGCCTGCATTCCGTAGTTGCCAACCTTAGAAGAAAGACTAAACTAAGAAACCAACACCATGTAGCTCACTACTATTTTTTTAACAGCTACAGTAACAGGATCTTGGGAGTCTAAGTGTGCCACCCTGGAAAGGGCTTATCTAAGAGGTTTTCTCAAAAGAAAATAGAAAAGAGGTTTCCTTTTATCTGATTACTTCCTTGATAGGAAGTCTTTTTTTGTGGTAGGTGAGACTAGGAAACCAAAGTTATGAATGCTTAGATTACTTTTATGCTAGGGTTGTAGCAGGGGTGTCAAACTTGCATTATCACAGTGGTGTCACATGACGTATCGTGACTTTCCCCCTTCAATAAACCAGACATAGGTATGGCCAGCATGTGATGCATCCATCCTGGGGGCCGTGAGTTTGACAGCGCTGGCTTACAGTAACAAGTCTAAAATAGGCTTCCCCCTTCATGCCTTTATCTTTAAAAAAACTAGAGATGGTCAAGTCTGAGACATTTTCTCAAGTTACATTTCTGCTTTGGACTCAAATTTCATTTATCTGGCTGTTGTCTTGGTTGAGATTCTTCCTCTTATTCCTCTGTGTCATTTTTTACAGCTCATTACACTGTAAACAGAGAGTAGAATTCCCCCCAGGATGCTCTGATATGATTCAGATCCAGTATGTAACCATTTATGTAGGGCTACCAGATCTCAGGTGTGAAAATATAGAAAATGTAATTTATCTGATGGGAGCAAAGAGAGATTGCTGCTATCTACTGTATGACCACCCAGATTTTTACAGTCCAGATCTGGCAGTTCTAAATAAGCATCTTCTAAAAGGAGAAAATTAAAAAAATGTCATCCAGGCACACCATATTATTCTGGGCTTGCTTTCTGGAAAAACATATGCCTGTATCAGTGTACATGTGGCCAGCTTCCCCCACAAAAGCTCCATTTAGCCTTGGCTTGCATAAATGGCCTAGGAAGCCAGATGTTTTCCAAGGATGTTTGGTATAACAACACTGGCTTAGCAGAGATGATGGAAATATATGCCTTGAGCATATACTTTCCTGTTTGGGGTGGTTTATTTATTTATTTATGTCTTATAGAGGGAACACAAAGCATCGTGACAAGAATGAAATCAACATGTGTAACTCAAAATCTCTAGGGTCATGTCAATTTTAAACAGCAAAGGTTTTAGGAGTAAAAACATGTAATTTTACTAAGCCAAATGACAGATTGGAGAGGCTGACATTTGACTTACATAAAACTGGTGCAGTGATTTCAAAATGACCTAACATGAATATAATTTCCATGTTGAGCTGAAATCTGGTTTAATGCTGTCTTTATCAGTATTAATCTGAAAGTCAAATTTTGCTTTTTTAAAAATAATTATATTAAACATAAGAATTAGACTAAGCCACCCGTAGAGGTGAGGAAGAGGGGGGAGACTGCCAGCAGGATTGAGGAGAGCTGCATCTTTCCTCCCAAGCTGGCCATTACTCCCTTTTCCTAAGGCGGTTGCAGCGGTGGTCAGAAATGGCCACCACAAAGAAGAACTCGATCGGAAAAGAATGTGCAGAAGGAAGATAAGAAGAGAAAGTTTTGGTTGACTGGGTCAAATAGCAAAAGCAACAAATAAGGTACCCTGGAATTGAAACTGTCAAAAAACAATAACATTGTTCCCTAAGAAGATTTTTAAGCTGCAAAGGAGAGAGAAAAGGGAAAAGATTTGGTTTTCTCCTTTTCCTATACTGACAGCTAAGAGACTTAAGCAAGAAATTGGAAAAAAATCCACTTTGACATCAATAGGCGTTTAATGCTGAAAATAAAAAGTCAAAGGGATAATAAAGATTTCTGGATAATTAAAAGCTATTGAAAACAGGAAAGGAGAGAGGAAGAATAAAAGGGCAGGATCTGGAAGGGAGGAGACTGCCTCGAATTAAAAAAGAACTTACAGCAAAATCTCAACAAGACTTCCAAAAGATACATTCTAACTGGAATATCACAACAAAAACCCCAGGAAGAGAAAGTCGAAAAAGAAATAAGAAGATATAACTCAGGACTATCTGGATTACTTGATGATTTCTGGATTCTTGGTTATTGTTTTGAATGACTAAAATCAATCAGGTGGTTGTTTAAAACTTTTTAAAATGGCTCCAGTTTTAGAAGAACTGAAAATGGAACTTAAAAAGTACAAAGAAGATGCACAAGAAGAGAGAGGTTCTTTTGGCTTTGTATTTCAGTTTTTAGAAATGGAGATTTGGAATTATGAGAAACAACAAGAAATGCCTGCAGAACAAGAAGATTGCGACAAAGAAGAAGCCATCTTTAATGAACAAGTAATCTTAGATGCGGGGGGGGGGGAAGGAA